TCCAAACCATCACTGATCAAATCATAAATGATGTTGTACTTTGAGCCAATCGATCTTATATTTAGTAAACCCAATTTTATTTTAACCACACAAAAGTTATTATTAGTCCGATCATTTTTGATTCCACCAATATTTCTACCAACAGCACCACCTTTCATTACATTGTTATTACCTACTTTTTTTAAATCATTAAAACCACCACTTTCATTACAATCATTACCGGCACCATCATTACCGGTGATGTATGTATGTATGTATGTATGTATGTATGTATGTATGTATGTATGTATGTATGTATGTATGTATGTATGTATGTATGTATGTATGTATGTATGTATGTATGTATGTAAGTAAGTATGCCGCGAGCAGCAACGGGAATTGTATATGGTTTTTGTTGATCTGACCAAGGCATTTGATTCGGTTGATAGGTCAGCACTCTGGCGCTGCTTGTCAAAAATTAGTTGCCCCTCTGTTTTTGTTGCCGTTGTTCGTTCTTTCCATGAAGGTATGAAAGCGAGTGTGGTTGAAAATGGTGAACGGTCACAGGATTTTGAGGTTACAAACGGAACCAAGCAAGGATGCGTTTTGGCTCTATTGCTGTTCAACTTCTACTTTTCATTGATGCTCCGAGTTGCTTTTCGTCACTGTAGTGAGGGGATACCAATCTGCTATCGTATGGATGGGGATGTTTTTAATATTAGACGATTGCAAGCCAAGTCCAAGACACAGATCTCTGTTGTCCAGGACCTATTATTTGCTGATGATTGTGCACTGGTTGCACACACACACAGGCGAGATTCAGATGCTGTTCAACCGCTTCTATAAAACAGCTAAAAGATTTGGACTTACAGTCAGTCTGAAGAAAACTGAGGTCTTGCATCAGAGCTACCCAGTTTCGTTGGGGGCAATGGCCCATGTGATGGCGGACGACTCGCGTCTCATTTCTGTTGATAGATTTTGTTATGCGTATATATCACTAATAATGCAACTATCGATGATGATATTACGGCAAGGCTTGCAAAAGCAGGTGCTGCTTTTGGTATGCTGACCGGGCGTCTTTGAAAAGAGCACGGAATTACTCTGGCCACCAAATACGCGGTATACAGAGCAGTTGTGCTCCCTTCACTGCTTTATGGTTGCAAAACCTGGACGTTCTACCGTCGCTACATTCGTAGGTTTGACCAGTTTCATATGAGATGTCTGCGCATGATTGCAGGTATCCGGTGGGAAGACATGGTCTCAAACACAGTGGTTCTGGCAAAGTGCGGTATAATGGGTGTGGAATCGCTGCTGCTTCAGGCTCAGTTTTGCTGGATAGGGCACATTATGCGTATGCCAGATACAAGAATCCCCAAGCAGGTCTTTTTTAGTCAGCTAGCGTTGGGAAATAGACTGGCAAGTGGCCCTGTACGCAGATACAAAGACAGCCTTGAAGAAAATATAAAAAATGTGGTCTAGACCCCAAGGCTCTCTGTGTTGATGCTCTGCGACGCTCGGAATGGAGAAGGTCTACCCAGTCGGCGGTTTCAGCTTTTGAACTGGCTCGCACAGCTGCTCTCGCTGAAAAAAGGACTCGACGAAACCAGACGGCTCAAAGCGGCGATAGTACAGGTGTATGGATTTGTGGAACTTGTGCACGTAAATGTTCGTCAAGGATAGGACTTTTTGCTCATTCTAGGACTCACCGATGACCCAATTCGTCGATTCGACGATGTACTCCATGTATGTATGTATGTATGTATGTAAGTGTGTATGTATGTATGTATGTTAAAACCAAAACATGATGAGTGACACTGAACCGTCAAACATCAAGTAACAAATGGATTAACACTTTGATTTGTCGTTAATTGCACATGTATGTATGTATGTATGTATGCATGCATGCATGCATGTATGTATGTATGTATGTTTGCATGTATGTATGTGCGTGTATGCTTGCATGCGTGTACGTGTACTGTCTACGTGATTTTGTGAAATTCAAGAGCAGTGAAAATTGCTGAGAGAGAATTTTTATGTGCATGTTATGCCCATAAACTTATGAAAAGTCCATCTCCCACTTTATCTTTCTCTCTCTCATTGTCTCTGTCTTCTTGGTCGCTTTGTCTTTTTGTTTTTTTTATGTCTGTTTGTTTTATTGTTTGTTTGTTGGTTTGTTTATCTGTCTTGTTGTAGAAAATCATTGTTATTAATCTGTAAACTTAATTACAATTAGTCTGTCAAATCAATAAATAATTTATTATTTATTGAAATCAAGTTAATGGTTTAATAATTTCAAAATGTTCCCCTAGTCACATTCAAGATAGAACTATAATTTACTCTTCTTCTTATTCATTAGTATTAGCAATAATATTGCAATTAATAGTAATTGTAGTAATATTACTAATAGTATTAACATTGGCTTTCTAGATGAAGTATCACCAATATTAATATGATTAGTAGTGTTAGTGTTAGTTATATCAGTAGCAGTTGTTATGGTTGTTAAGTGATAGATAGTTTTCAAACATTAACGTGTATCAAGTGTGTCTGATTAGTTGAATGGTTCAGCTGCAGGACTTGCAACATACTAATATACTTACAATTATACAAACTTACTCGCTAAACATACAATAAAACATACAAACGTACGCACAAACTTAGAAAAATATACAAACACACAAACGGACTTACAAAAACATACATACATACATACATACATACATACATACATACATACATACATACATACTATACAAACATACAAGAGCATCAAACAGACAGACAGACAAACAAACATACATACATATTTATACAAACAAACATACAAGAGCATCATCAGACAGACAGACAAACAAACATACATACATATTTATACAAACAAACATACAAGAGCATCAAACAGACAGACAGACAAACAAACATACAGGAGCATCAAACAGACAGACAGACAAACAAACATACGTATACATATTTATACTGACAAACATACAAAAGCATACAAATAGACTCAGGTGCATGTGACGAGGAGAGTATTGAAACAGCTCCTTCCATCTTTCCATTCATAAATCATTTGACGTCCTCAGCTGCATGTTGAGACATTTAATCAGCGTTGCCTTCATCACAAACATACAATTTTCAATCCATCCATCCGTTCATTCATTCATTCATCTGTTTATTCGTTTATTTAATTCATTTTTTACTCAGCGGTCTATTCTTGCAGTCGCTTATTTATTTTATTTCTTCGTTTTTTCTTCGATAAATTCACTCGTTCAATCATTCGCCTATCAATCCCTTTAACATTTATCACTCCGGACATGCATCTGCCCAGCCACCAATTCATCATTCATTTTTTATTCATTCTTATTTAATCATTTGTTTATTTATATTTACATCATTCTATTTATACGTCTGCATCGAGCATCTCAGAAGGTTATCTCTAGACCAGTAGGTAGTCATACGTACAATTTGTCTTCCCATCCATCTATCCGGATCCATCCACCCATCCATCCACCCATCCATCTCTCCATCCATTCATCCATCCATTCATCCATCCATCCACTCATTCATCCACTCCTTCATTTATCCCTCCATCCACCCATCCATCTCTCCATTCATCCATCTTTCGTTTGTTCTTTCCGCTAATCGTCGGTTCCTCCTCTGTTCTTCCTCCTTTGATTGATCGCCAGTTAATCTAACGGCATATCGCAATGAATATCGATTGATACCGAATTAAAAGATGTTCCACTTCTAACCGACTCACTCGCTGTAAACAAATTAATTTCATGTACCACTTCTACGTTTGGACTTCAATGCATTCATACGTATGTGTGCGTGTGTTTGCGTGTGTGCGTGTGTTTGTGTGTGTGTGCGTATGAGTGTGCACGCAAATAAAAAAATTTCATAAATAGTGGTAAAAGATGTAAAGAGCCTAATTATAAAAAATATCTTTCCAACCAAATATCGAAGATGAATTCATAATTTCTTCAAATAAATTTAACACTAACAACTTCATGCGTTGGAAGGTTGGATAATTTCCACAGCAGCACGTGGCGATGTGGCATCGGGTTACGTGATAGTTTGAATTACTAAAAAAATTTTGGTCCTATTTCAAGACATTTCATGGAAACAATAAATGATAGAAAATTAGAAATACACAAACATACAACCAGGCACACATACAAACGTTCAATAAGCACAAGTATATACACATTACACATACGTGTATATATATATATATATGTTACCATTATATATATATATATATATATATATATATATATATATATATATATATATATACATCATACAGCAAATATATAAACAGATTAACAAATATACAAACGATCAAACAAGTAAACCAACATACAAAACACAAACAAACATACGAAACGACAAACAAATATACAAACAGACAAATATATATACAAACAGACAAACGAATCTGCAAGCGGAGAAACAAATATAGAGAGCTACGAAGGAACGTATCATATCCAACATTGATATGAAAGGCTGAAAATTAATTCCATGTTTATGATTGCTAATAACGCGATCTTAATTAAATTCACATCTATATCCTTCATAATTATCTTTCAAAAACTTTTCTTACTACTACTACTACTGCTACTACTACTGCTACTACTACTGCTACTATTACTACTACTACTACTATAACCTATTACTTCTACTACTATTACTACAAATAATACTACTAGTAGTGCAGCAGCTGCTGCTACTACTACTACTACTATTTATACTTAATATTATTAGTTTTATCATTATCATTATTGATGTTATCATTTTCATTAAAGAATAATAATTAAAAAAATGATAAAAATGATTAGATATTAATTAACAGATATTAATCATATTAATATCTGTTATTATTTATAATGGAAACATCACAACATATTCGATGGAGCTGCAGATCAATGTAACTCAATGCTAAACTACTTCTACTCACGATGCCATTTTAAAAACATTTTCAATTCTTCAAAAGGCAACTCCATCATACACAGATGTTCGGAATGGCGCACTGTACGCGCAAAAAGGTAGCAGTCTTTGAGTTAAGAAGAGATTGTATTCGAACCAGGTCACCTTGCAATAACGACAATTTCAATGTAGATGTAGAAGTACGGTGTTTCATTTGTTTAAAAAAATTGTTAATGAACAAGATTTTCTAAATTTGTCAGGGAAGATATTGATAAAAATGTTAAGGTCAGTGTCAGCAGAATGCGAATGTAATGCGGGCGCGCTAGTCAGAAGACGTGCAGGGTTTGGTCTGTTGAAAAAGGCGACAATTTTGGATGATCCACGGACAAATGTAGAACGGCTCGTGAACAGACCAATCGGCAGTGTACTGTGTGACCTAGGAAGGAACTTGCGACCATCAGAAACTTTCGAAAAGTACAGAGCTATTTATGAAATAGGAAAGTTAAATCAGCCTGAAATAAATTTGTGTTAAATAGATACATGGTGAAATATTGATGATGAAGTTAGGAACGTGCGTTTGCCTGGTGCAATGAAATTTTTTATCAGCAAAGATATTTTTCGTTCTATAGAAACTAAGAAGTCAAAAGGAACCGCAGGTGAAATGCTTCAGCCAACCAGAAATAGTTAATGTTAGTAACATGGAATATTTGAAAGTCCTGCTACACCTGCTACACACTATATCGATGTTGCCAGGTTTGACTTCATTCGCTCATTCTCAAAGCAGTAGAGCCTGTGGAGAAGGTCTCAAAATGATTCGACTTTGGATGATAAATCAATGTATTAATAACTACGTGGCTAAAGTAAAATATTTCTCAGCTCTGAAAAATTTTTTGCAGCCTTGGTAAGCGTTGACCAGAAGGTTTCGTTGCATCGGGCAATGCACATTTTGAAGGTTTCAAATTGTTATCTATAATGAAACTGTCATTGTTAATATCATTATCCTTATTGTTCTTGGTTGGAACAATGCATCAGTACCAAAGTACATCAGTCCCTACCTTATCAAGTTTTTATGACAAAACTGTTCGCATTCATCTTCATGTTGTTAACTAATATTATTATTATCGGCAGGTTTTTGTGCTCTCCTTTGAATATCGCCCACCAAGATTGTGGGCATCAAATCAACAGTCATCAACAAGTGCCTTATTTTTTTCAACTAACCTTCCGTAGTTTCAGGTCTACCGTGAGCTAAAAATTTTTTATCAAACTTGACAAGCTCTCTTTCCTTTGTTATTCATTAGGAAAGATATATAACAGCTTCAAGCAGCTCACCATTACTTGCTTCTTTATCGGCATCACGCATGAATTTAGAGAAGTCAACTATTGAATTCAGAGTATTTTAAATCCGACCAAGTTTTTAACTCCAAAACAAAACAGCTTTCAGGAACAAAATTGGACTCAAAGGACTTTTAGAATTCCATGAAAAACAGGACAGTTCGTGTTGGTTCAAAATTAATTTGTAGGCCACAATTCGAAAAAATATCAACTGCTTATATATATAAACATGAGTTTGT